AACTTCGCTCCTATGAAATTAGGGAAACAATACTCTAACTTAGTCTGTGAACCATCAGATGGGAAATAGATGGCCAAGATTCTGCACTGTTCATATGGGGTGTAGCATACTGTTTGGACGAGTACTGTAGCTAAAATCACTGTTTGTTATCTGTACCAATTGACACTGTTTAAGAACTGTAGCGATAGATCTCAGCCATTTATTCTAGATCCAACGGATGAAATGTGGCTAAGTTAGGCTCCTAACTTCACGGTAGCTAAGTTAGAAGAGCCGGTTCCGGCGTAGGGGAGTGCTGCGTTGTCGTTCGGGGCATTCGCCCTCCATCCCGAACGGTCAACTGTGAATGACGTGGCGCCTATATGCTTCAAGATCTGTGCACTTTGATCTCCTGGCTCAGGACGCGTTCGGACGAAAAATAGAAAATCCGGACATTCGGGCGTTATCGATTCCGTTTGTAAAATTATTGTTATTGATCGACACTATACGTCCGCCAGCCCATATTTAGATTTTATTCATCGCTTCGACGGCCATTGGATGCCGAACTGATAACCATCCGATTTAATGTCCACCCCCGCATGCCCGCTCTTTATTTCCTGTAACAAACGCTCTGTTGCGAAAACAACACTATGCCCTTGCCCCGACAGAGTTGCACCCTGCACGGCCCCGTCTCCAACCCACCGCAAAATCAGCCCGCCGCTGGCGTACAGGAACTAAATTGAAATTTCTGCAACACTATGACGCATCATGGTTGGATTTGACGCAAATCGAGCTCACCGAGGGGGGCTGCTTCGACAACAGCCGCGGCCTCTACTCCAGCATGATGGCGACGAGCTCCCACAGTGGGCACTCCTTTGACGATTTCTGCAACTGAAGCTATGTTTTTGAAACATGCGTCGTGTTGCAATGCTTGACCTCGTATGCTCTAATATCGTGTGCTCCTCCAACGCTTTCTTCAACCGGGACTATATTTCTGAAGCAAGACCTATGTTGCAAGAAAAAAAAACTTCGCTGCCGAACCATTTTTTTTTTTTTGAAACAAGACTTGTGTTGTAGAAACTTTCTAAAACTGCTGAAAAAACTTCACCACTGAATCGTTTTTTTATTTCTGAAACAAGATCTTTGTTGCAGAAACCGTCGATCTCCGATTCGTACCTGCTTTAGTCGTCGCCGGACACCGCCGATCCCGAGCAAGTTGTCGTCGCCACTGCGGTGGATAACAGACGCGGCTTCCCCGAAACCCCCCTACTATTACCCAGTTGCAGGAATGACTGTGTTGAAACAACAGGTGAGTTTTAGAAAAACAGACACGGCTTCGGCGGACGCGGGGACGTTGTCGACCATCAACACACGATCAAACGGCCACGGAGCTGGCGGACGGGCGCACACGATCGGCCGGTAGAAGGTAAGCTTTTTTTTAATATAAATGTTTTAAAATAAAATAAAATGGACACTACCAGGATCATGTATTGTTGAATTATTGTTAGTCTGAGTTAAAGTGTGACCTCGACGTCCAAATAGCTCTCCGATTAAATGTCAGAGTTCTCGATCTCAGAGATGAACTTCTATTGATTCACTATAATCCTGCTCTATGATCAGAGCCATCCAAATATGTTTCGATCCATGTCGGTAACAGATACGTGAATCCACAGAATCCAAAAAGGATTCAGCAGCCTGGGTTCGTCTCCGAAGACGACCTGGGGTGGAACTGGAATCCCCTTACAAATTGCCGCCCTCGCGCTGCTATTCGCCTCAGGAACTCAGTGCCCCAATTGCTAGACATTGACCAGGGATCCATCCAGGGCGCATCTGCTTCCCTTCGTCCAGGCGATGGGGATGGCTGTGCTCGACGAGGCCCAGCGGCGACGGCGGCAGAGCGTCTACGAGTTCTTGGACGCCACCAAGCCCGCGCGCGCCCAGGCGCTGCGATGGTGCGAGACGGCGCGGGAGATGCGTAGGATCGATGGCGACATGAAGGAGGCGGGCCAGCTGCTCCGCGGCGCCCTCTCCTGCGTCAAGGACTACGCGTCCGTCTACAGGACGTGGATCGCCATGGAGATGGACGGCGGCGGCGGCGTCGGCGTTGCCCGATGGCTCTTCGAGGAGTGGGGCACCGTCTGCGCCAAGGATGGAAACCTCCGCAAGGACGACGACGGCAGCACCGCCGACGAGTACGGCGACTACTGGTGCGCGTACCTCGCGTTCGAGCTCCGTCACGGGGACGCCAGGCGCGCGCGCACCGTGGCGGCACGGGCCGTCAAGGCCTGCCCGCACGACGCCTCGTTGCGCGACACGGTGGAGCTCCGCCTTAGCGACGCCATCGAGATCGAGCAGCAGAGGCGGCATCGGTCGGGTCTGCTTCGCACTGCCAAGAAGTGGCTCACCAACAGCGAGCAGAGTCGCGGCTGCTCATCACTCGTACCCCGGCCGCCGCAGGGGTACCGGAGGCTCCTCAGCGGCTAGTCGCCGTGATCGATTGCTGCTTCGGGAGTAGATTAAAAGAGATTAAATCGCAGTACAATGTAAACTGTTCCACGTATACTTAGTTACAGATCATGGTACTGATCTCTGCAATAGTGTTGATTTCTCGTTAACTTGATTGGTCTTGGTCCACGGAGATGTGATTTGTAAACCGTATTCCTATGCGGGGTGCTAATTCTTTATTGAAAAAAAATATTACAGTAAACCAGATTGCAGTAAATCAGCGGCTAGTCGCCGTGATCGATTGCAGCTTCTGGATCGTAAACCAGATTGGATTTTAGTAAAATGTAAATTGTTCCACATCAAATTGCGGATGATGGTGTTGATCGATGCAATTGACAATTCTTTAGTCAATCCCGTGTATCAAAAGATTCGGTCTAGCACAGTAATTGTATGTAAGTTGACTGAATTTGTATCAAAAGATTACAGTAGAAGTCAACTTCGTGGGAACAAGAACAGTTGGAGGAGGAAGAAAGAATGATGACATATTCAATCAGTTTACATCTTCACAGTTTCTAAGCTCCCAAGAAATAAAGCTTTCTGGTTGAAGTGGGGATGTGGGACCAGCATGTCATCCAGTGAAAGAGATGTACTTACCACCTAGGCCCCAAGCTTTATTTACACATGTCCTTTGTGTACATCCATGGAGACACTGATGTCATTTTTTATTCTGCATGCACCTACATACCAAATATCATGTGCTAGGCCATACGGCTGTACTGTAGCATTTCATATATTCTAATTTGTATTTGGATGAAAATAGAGTTTTCCCGACAGAACCTAAAAATATACATCCAATGACAACTCGTAAAAAACCCTATCCTAGTGACAGAATGTAAGCCCGGGATTGTGAGCTCAGTGTCAGCTCGAGCACCGAAATGCTTTATTATATATCTGGTGCAGTATAACCTTAATATGAGAATAAGATGTCTTTTAATAGAACGCCTGTTATTCAACTCTTACATATTTACTCTACACGATCCAAATAAAACATATTAGCTTATAGTGAATAGGTACTATATTATATTATTTTCTTGATGGATCGATACTTCTATTTCGTCAATATGTCACATTTTCCATCTGCCCATCAATGTCTGATCGATTACCTTTACTCTTACTCTTCCTAAATATGAAAATGTTAACACGCCACCTATTACATGACTTCGACGATACTACTCCGTCCTAGTTTATTGATCCTCTTTGTATTTTGTGTCAAAATTTGACAATATATTTAACTAATAAAATGTTAATGTATGTCACAGAAAATTATATCATTAAATTCGTATTTAAATATAGTTTCCAATTATAATTTTTTGTGACATGGATTAACATTTTATTAATTAAATTCATGATCAAAATTTGATACAAAATGCTAAGAAGACTAATAAAACAGGACGAAAGTAGTACATGATGAAACACATACATGTTCTATCTACCAACGACACACAATGAAAGAAAAAAAACAAATTGGTTTTACAACAATAGTGAAAAACGGCGCGGCAAGGCGCGCATTACCTTCTAGTATACACTATGGCCCGTCCAATGTTCTGTGGAGTTGTAAACTTGATGTACAAGTATAACTGGCGCTGTGCAGTCCAAAATTGTTTGCAATGGCCTGTCTCTAGATTTACTATGTATCTCTTAAACCGCTAAACCCGATGATCTGTTTACATTTATGGTTTAGTTTGTCTAATTCACATCTAGATGTCTCCTATATATACCCTTTATAGTTCTTTGCAGCGAGATTTTCGTAACTAGATTTTATATTGATACATTTCGATAACATTTTTCATGTCTGTACTTCACATATTATTCTAGCACAACACTAACGCCCACACGTATGGTGGGAGCGAAATCCGTCCATACGCCCTATAGCACACATATTGCGTCACGTCACCGCATGCATGCATGTGAGAATCTTTTTGGGATTTCAGTTTTTAAAATATTTTATCTCTTAAATGAAAAATCCGATTGAAGATCTGTTTTCAGCATTAAATCCCTCGCGACGAGATCTTTGAAACTATATCTCATATCAATATATTTCGACAATTTTTTTTGATTAGAAGTTACCATGTCTATTGCACATGAATTGCCATGGTGTTTACACTGAAGTTGTCATGATATGTTTCGGCTATTTTTTTCTACATTTAAAAGTTAATTTTGACATATTATAAAACGGGGAATTAAGAAACTAGACTTGCCATGAACTATAAACTAAAATTGCCATGATACATGCACTTAAAATTACCATGGTTCATACAAAAAATATTTTTTATGGTCAAAGTACTGGAATTGACATCATCAAAATACTAAAATTTGTCGTGCTCTACAAACTAAAATTGCTACATGGAAACTTTAGTTTAACCACTATGACAACTACAGTGTAAACATCATGGCAACTTTTGGGCAAAAAAAAGTTCGTTGAAACATATCAACATGGGGTCTAGTTTTGAAGATCTCGTCGAGGCGGATTTAATGGTGAAAACGGATTTTTAATTGGATATTTTAATTAGGGGATAAAACATTTTTAAGACAAAAACCAAAAAGATTCATGTTGATGTCATCTGTTTTGACGTGGCAAAATGAGTGGTAATGGAGACGTGTAGGCGATGTGCAAGATGCCACACGTGTGGGCGTTAGTTTTTTCGTTATTCTATTTATTACTTGTTAGATTATTAGAACATCTACATCCCCACTCCCTAAACCCCCCTAAACACTCGGGCAGACGGCCCGGACACTCGAGCAGACGGCCCGATAAAAAATACCCGACCCAGACGGACACCTTCTACCAGGCCCAAACGCCCGTGTTATCCGATACCCCTCATATCCAACCCAAATCTATGATGGATATAGGGAGGCCTGGGCGCGTCCACCATGTCGGATTCGACCCATGCTGGCCACCCTGGCCCCACATATATCCGTCCCCATCCGCTCTTCAGACTAAACCCAACCACTTTGCTCCGTCCCCAAGCTCCCTTCCGGTGATATCCGGCCCTCTCCATCACGGCGGCTAGCAGTTCTAACTCCGACCACTAACAATACATTGACGGTGGCGTCGTCCCATGTGGGGCAAAGAAGGATATGGCCGTCTGCATGGCCCTCCACCGCTCCCGGGAGGAGTGCGCCCAACGGGTGTCAAAATCTATCCGGCGTGAATCCATTATGTCGGCGCAACTGGCGCTCGGATCCGCCAGGGCTGGTGGCTCGAGTTTCGTCTGCTGCCCCATTTCCAGTCTGCCGCCATATGAGTGCTAAGGGACCGGTGTGCCTGCTGTAACAAGCAGAGGGCGTGGGAGCGTGAGGTCCGCCTCGCTGTCGATGTAGCAGAGGCGGAGGCGGCAGTGCACGCTGTTGCAGAAGAGGAAGCCATATGTTCCCGCATCCTCCAGAAACAGCATAGGAGAAATAAGAGCTCCCTCGCCTCGAGAGCGAGCCGGAGAGATCCGTGCCATGGTCAGCCCCCCACCCCCAAAGAGGGGATGAGGATAGTGATGGGGCGAACAGCTCCGGCGAGGAGGAGATCCGGCTCGATCCATATCGCGCCTTCGAGCGCTACTTCCGCGAGAAATACGCCAAGGGCGCCGATAAGGACAATCGTGGATGATCTTTGTCCATAGCTTACTATGTATGTAGAACGTGCCAATTTTTGGTAATCTGATGGCATGTACTGATGTAGTAGGCGGACTGCTACCTCTTGAGCACTGCGTTGGTTTTCCCTTGAAGAGTAAAGGGTGATGTAGCAAAGTAGCATAAGTATTTCCTTCAGTTTTTGAGAACCAAGGTATCAATCCAGTAGGAGGCTACGCGCGAGTCCCTCGCACCTACACAAAACAAATAAATCCTCACAACCAACGCGATAAGGGGTTGTCAATCCCTACACGGTCACTTACGAGAGTGAGATCTGATAGATATGATAAGATAATATTTTTGGTATTTTTATGATAATGATGCAATGTAAAATAAAAGGCAATGAAAATAACTAAGTGTTGGAAGATTAATATGATGGAAGATAGACCCAGGGGTCATAGGTTTCACTAGTGGCTTCTCTCAAGAGCATAAGTATTTTACGATGGGTGAACAAATTACTGTTGAGCAATTGACAGAATTAAGCATAGTTATGAGAATATCTAGGTATGATCATGTATATAGGCATCACGTCCGAGACAAGTAGACCGACTCCTGCCTACATCTACTACTATTACTCCACACATCGATCGCTATCCAGCATGCATCTAGAGTATTAAGTTCATAAGAACGGAGTAACGCTTTAAGCAAGATGACGTGACGTAGAGGGATAAATTCATGCAATATGATTAAAAAACATCTTGTTATCCTCGATGGCAACAATACAATACGTGCCTTGCCGTCCCTACTGTCACTGGGAAAGGACACCGCAAGATTGAACCCAAAGCTAAGCACTTCTCCTATTGCAAGAAAGATCAATCTAGTAGGCCAAACCAAACTGATAATTCGAAGAGACTTGCAAAGATAACCAATCATACATAAACGAATTTAGAAGATCCAAATATTGTTCATAGATAAACTTGATCATAAACCCACAATTCATCGATCTCAACAAACACACCGCAAAAGAAGATTACATCGAATAGATCTCCATGAGAGAGGGGGAGAACATTGTATTGAAATCCAAAAAGAGAGAAGAAGCCATATAGCTAATAACTATGGACCTGAAGGTGAGGTGAACTACTCACAAATCATCGGAGAGGCTATGGTGTTGATGTAGAAGCCCTCCGTGATCGATGCCCCCTCCGGTGGAGCTTCGGAACAGGCCCCAAGATGGGATCTCGTGGATACAGAAAGTTACGGCGGTGGAATTAGGGTTTTGGCTCCGTCTCTAATCGTTTGGGGGTACGTAGGTATATATAGGAGGAAGGAGTACGTCGGTGGAGCAACAGGGGGCCCATGAGGGTGGAGGGCACGCTTGGGGGGGTAGGCGCGCCCCCCTACCTCGTGGCTTCCCT